ACACCCAATGACTTAACGCCTTTCCCCACCCCATTCCTGGTCCAGAGAGAAACATCTCGTCTTTCTTCTCCAGGACTAACCTGGCCATTTGACTGCTAACCCCATATTTTCTTGACTTCTCAAGGTTCTTGCATTATCAGCAGGTAAAATTTTCCCTCCATATCAAATTTCTCTTCTTCAGTCCAATTTTGTCAGTAGATAAACATGCCCAAGTCCTCTCTGAATCTTAGCAAGTAAACAAACCTCCCCCAATCCCAACTCTGCCTTGGCTTCATTCTAACTCAAACTCGTACTTTCCTTCCGTTCACAACCAAAGTTCTAGAAAGAGAAGTCTGAATTCTCAGGGTTTTCTACTCCTATAAGGAGTTGCAGTCTCTGAAAACCCACCGGAGCAGTTCTACCCTGCCCTACAGGGTTGCTATGAGTCAGCATCAACTCCGTGGCAGTGAGTTTGAGTTTTAGCTAGTCTTTTTCTTTTAAGATTCTTAGGGAGCTCTGTTGGTGGAATGAGTCACACATAGGGCTGCTAACTGCAAAGCTAGCAGTTCAAAACCCCCAGCTGCTCTGAAGGAGAAAGATGGGGCTTTCTATTCCTGTAAAGACTTACAGCCTTGGCAACCAAGAGGGGCGGTGCTATTCTGTCGAATAGGAACATTATGAGTCAGACTTGACTTGTGCTTTAAATCTTGATAAATTAGACTCTACTCAACTACAGGATGCCCCCCCCCTTTAAGATCCTAATGAAGGAACCCTTTTAAAAAGATCTTTATGCAGGATTTCAGCCTTTAGTATGGATTAACAACTCTATGTAAAGAAGGCTAAAATCCTCACAACTGGGTCAGTAGGTAACACCATGACAAATGGAGAAAAAGTTGAAGTCGTCAAGGATTTTGTTTGTTTGGATGGATCCATAATCAATGCGTATGGAAGAAGCAGTCAAGAGATCAAAAGGTGAGTTGCATCAGGGAATTTTGCTGCACAAGACCTCTTTGGAATATTGAAAAGCAAGGATATTAGCAAGCAAGGATTAAGGTGTGCCTGACCCGAGCCATGGTATTTTCAATTGCCTCTTATGCATGTGAAAGTTGGACATTGAACAAAGAAAACTGACAAAAAATGCATGCACCTGAATTATGGTGCTGGCCAAGGATACTGAAAGTACCACAGACTGCTTGCTAATAGGACCCACAAATCTGTCTTGGAAGAAGGATAGCTAGAAGCAAGGATGGCAAGACTTCATTTGAGAGACTTTGGACACGTTTTCAGGAGAGACCAGTCCCTGGAGAAGGCCATCGTGTTTGGTAAAGTGGAGGAGCAGAGAAAATTAGGAAGGCCCACAAGGAGATGGATTGACCCCGTGACTGCAGCAATGAGCTCAAGCATAGGAACTATTGTCAGGATGGCACAGGACCGGAAAGTGTTTCCTTCTGTTGTGCATAAGGTCACTGTAGGTCAGAACCAACTCGATGGCACCTCGCAACACCAAACCACATGAAGTAGCCCTCATTGTGCAGTGGTTGGTGTCCACCTGGCTGTTTGAACCCGAGCACTGCTCCATGGGCGAATAGGGTCACATTCGTCAGAATAGACTCAATGACAATGATTGGTTTTGTTTTTGGTTTTGATCCTTATGTCTCAACCAACGCATTGTGTTGTGGCTTCTGTCTTCTCTCTTATCAAGATCTTCAATCACCTAGTTGCCTCATTGTAATCTTGTCTTCTTGGAAGCATCTCTTCCCTTGCCCCCTAACAAGAGAAACTGACCCCAGCTGAGGTGAGGCTCCTTCAGAAGAAGTGGTTTTTAAGATGTGCACATAAGGGAGTGATCTATGGATCATAAACATTAGGCAGGCACACCACCTCATCTGCTTGGGAGAGGCCCTTACCTTTTTTATGATTTTACATTTTATTTCACATTTCCTCCCCTTCCATCCAGGACCTTTTACTGTGCTCCTCGGCTGAGCCAGTAGTAGTGGTAGGAGGCACCATCTAGTTCTGCTCAGCTGAGGATGATGGAAGCTGAGGCTCACATAGCACAATAGGCCTTTGGACGAATTATTTCTGTGTATCTTTGCTTTCTGCTGCTCTTCTTTGCTTTAGACTAGAGAGACCAACAATTGCACCTTCGATGGCTGTATACAGGTGTTTAAGACTTAAGTTGCCACTTGCCAAATTAGAATGCAGAACATATTCTTTGTGGACTCTTTACTGCAAATTGATTTCAATGTTCCTGGAAACTATAGCCCTGGGCTCCCAGACCTAACAACTAATTCCTCCAGGGTGTTGGGTTATAGCTAAGGAATTTAATAGCTTTGCTACATATGTGCTCTTCTATATCCATGGCAGTATTTGCAGCATACTTTACTACAGATGTAAAAATATCTTGTCAGACCTGTCTAGAGGGAGCTTCAAAAATTTTTTTATTATATCTTCATTTCATTTTCCATGAAACTTGTAAAGCCCTTCTAGTGCCTTCCTTTGTCTTGGTCATTTTGTAATTATTTATCCCTATTGTGTATAACTTTCCCTTCACCCAAGTTAATATGTTTCTCCCTCTCCTTAGTCACTTACTCTCTCTTCTCCTCTCACTCCTGGTAACCATCAAAGATTTTTTTTTCCTGTGTGAAAACTATTCCTTGAATATTTATCATCATGGTCTCATAGAATATTTATCATTTCCCGACTGACTAATTTTACGCAGCATAATGTCATCCAGGTTCATCCATGTTATGAGGTACTTCATAGATTCATCATCGTGCTGTTGTTCCTCTTGCAGCTTTATCGTTTCACTCTGTATTATATCCCATTGTGGGTATGTATTCTTTCTCATTTTTGATTTTTTGGGTGATAGGCACCTAGGATATTTCCATCGCTTGGCTCTTGTGAAGAGTGCGTCAGTGAATATAGTGTGTATCCATCTACTGACGTCACAGCTCTTTGTTCTGTGGGCTATGTAGAAGGACATCATGTTTGGTAAATTAGAGGGGCGGCAAAAAAGAGGAAGGCCCTGGCGGAGTTGAACGGACCCGGGTTCTGCATCGTGGGCTCCAGCTTAGGAGCGATTGTGAGGATGCCGCCGGACCTGACAGTCGTTCCTTCCGTTGTGCGCAGGTTACTAAGGAACTGAACCGACTTCATGGCACCTAACAACAACAATGGCTCACATGCCCAGTAATAGGATTGTGACCCCTTTCCGGGTTGTCAGCAATGGTTGCTGGGCGCCATCTGGTCCTTCTGGGCTCAATGTCATGGAGGTCAAGGTTTACATGGTCCCTTCATCCTTTGGACTGATTGTTTCCATGCGTCTTTGATTTCCTTCACTCTTCTAGATGAGGAGAGATCAATGCGTGCACCTCAGATGGCCATCTTTTTGAATTTCTTAAAAGAGGTGCTAACTGTTTTCCACAGTGACTGCACCATCTACAATCTCACCATCAGTGTGAAGGGTCCAGTTGTCATGCTTCTGCCAGCCTTTGCTGTTTGATGAACTTTACTATTAATCCGGTGGTGCTAATTTTTATTGCCATATAATAATACTCTATTCTATGAACATATATGAAGTAAAAATATGGTTACAAAATATCAAAATGTGAAGCAATTTTTTTTTATCAACCTAGCCAACATGTAAGTCTACACTTCTGAAGTTGGTGTTTCCATCTCTTTAATCCTTTCCTGAAGAATTCTGTGGCCTTTGATTTACAACATGTAAACATAGGAGTTTTGGCATTTCCAAGGAATTAAACTTTGTCATGTTTTTGAGTTGTGGTAACAAAAGGAAATCTGAATGGGCAAAATCAGGACTGTATGGTGGATTGGATAACATTTCCCAGTGAAATTCTCTAGGACAGCCATACTACCCTGGAAGAATGAACAGATGCACTCTTGTTATTGGGGGAGGGGGGGCTGGGGATCTCTGGCACAACTCTCCTGGCCGTTTTTCTCACCAATACAATTTTACAATTTCTTAAAACATGTTCAGAATTTAAGCTCTGCTACCATTCCCTCCTTTGGAATTGGATTTTATTGTTTACAATGCTTGGATCACACAGGCTGGTATGAGAAGCCATTGTGTTGATTGGACTTTTATTTGAAGGTTCCATAACGAGATTAAGACAAATGTATTCCTGAGAGAATTGTCTGCTGCCACCCAGTGACTACAGAGACGTGTGCGAACCCGTTTTGTCAGGGATAAAGTCATGCATATGTGTACTGGACCTTAGTTGCAATGCTTTTCTTACTTACCCTCATACCACAGTTAATTTATCTGTTAGTGGGGATTTGGTTTGTTTCCAGTGGGCTGCTTTGAGGCTTTAACTATCTTGTATATTTCTTATGTGACTCATGTACAAGAGTTTTCTAGGTTGTAAATCCTGGAATGAAATGGTCTGATACACATATCTGAAGGCACATATATATAGATATCTTCAACTCCACCAGATAATGCCAAACTATTTTCCAAAGTAGATGTAGCAATTTACATCTCACCATGAGAGTTGAGAATTCTCACTTTTCTGCATCTTTGCTACCATGTGGTATTGTTGGGCTTTAATTTTTTTTAAAACCAACATTATTGGTATGTAGTGGTGTTTCATTGTGGTTTTAGTTTGTACTTCTGTTCTGGAAATAAATTGAATATCTTTCCTATGTTTATTGGTCATCTGTATTTCCTCTTTGGTGACGTACTTGCTCAAGTCTTTTTCATTTTCCTCCTGGATTGTTTGTCTCTGTAATACTACTAGTAACATTCCTGAATGTATGCTGAATGCATCGTTTTGACCATGTGCATTTAAAATAATACCATACTACAAAATAGTATAATAAAAATAATAAAATAGTATGTTATATAAAATACAATAGTTTGGGAACAACTTGAAGATTTGTTGATTATAGTACGTTGGTACTGTTTAGTACTAATGAATAAATAGAGAAAAATGTTTGGAAAGACAAATATCTCAGCATGTTACTTCAAATTAATCCTGTCCTTCCCTTCTTCTGTTCAGGTGTCATTATTGTCCCCAGTGCTGGTGTTGGTATTGTCCTGGGAGGCTACATTATAAAAAAATTGAAACTTGGAGCAAGAGAATCTGCAAAACTAGCAATGATCTGCAGTGGTGTGTCTTTACTCTGTTTTTCCACCCTCTTTATTGTTGGCTGTGAAAGCATTAATCTAGGAGGCATAAACATCCCTTATACAACTGGGTAAGTACCGTTGAAAAGCCACTTCCTGATAATTTAAGGGTAATGTTCTGAGGTATATATATATAATATATGACTGGTCAGACCTGTGTCCACCTCGCGCCTCTCGTGCGCACCGTTGAAAAGCCACTTCATGATAATTTAAGGGTAACGTTCTGAGGTGTGTGTATATATATATATAATATATGACTGGTCAGACCTGTGTCCACCCCGCGCCTCTCGTGCGCACCGTTGAAAAGCCACTTCCTGATACTTTAAGGGTCACGTTCTGAGGTGTATATATATATACACCAGTCATATATATATATGACTGGTCAGACCTGTGTCCACCCGGCGCCTCTTGTGCTCAGCATGTGTGCTTGGAGCTTGCATGCACTCTTGGAGGACAGAGGCCATGATCTCTCTTTCTTTTCTGGATTTTTTGACCTTTAAAGGATACCTTCCATGACATTTTGATTACAGCAAACAGAGATGAAATGTTTGATGAATTAATGAAAGTTTTCCTTTTTCTCCCCATTGTAATGTTTACACTAGGCAAGCCATTCCCATATGCTAAAAATATAAAATTTAACGAAACTTCAATGAGCAGTAACAAGTCTGTCCTTCATCTGCCTACTTTCCCTAGCCTCTTATCCACAGGAAACCACTCTTCTTCATTTCTTGCTTATCCTTCCAGGGCTACTTCATCCGTGTATAATACATGATGAACATGCATCTTACATTTTCCCTGTTTTGTATCCAAAGGATAGCATTCTTTATATAATTTTATAAGCCTTTAAAATAGCAATAATATGGTAGATACCTTTCTGTATTAATAATAATAGTAAATAGACTAGGTAACTTTTATGTTGACAGTTCTATATGCCAGGGACTTTTCTAAATGCTTTATTATCTATTCATTTATCCTCTAGGTAATTACATAAGGAAGGAACTAGCATTACTAAAATTTTCCAGAAGGTAAAACAGATGTGCACTTCCAGTTACTTAGTGGAATGCTGGTATATGGTTAAAAATAGCTCTGCAAGGAGAAACGGCCTCCTTTCCAACCTTTGCCCATTTCTGTGGTATAAATACTCCTGCCATAGTTAATTTCAAGCTAACAATGTGAAGATACTGAACACTGAGTTGAGAGGAAATCCTCAGATGGACACCGTTGTGTAGTACTTATGTCTATTGTATCTATGTGATATGTGTATTCTATCATAGACATAAGTCATCTAGTATGTAGATATTGTTCGATAAGCTGTTGTTGGCTGTCCTGAAGTTGGCTCGGAATCTCGATGTCTGTGTATAACAAAATGATACATTGCCCAATCTGGCCCAATCTGCATGGTGGTTGGTATGTTTGACTCATTGTTAGATCTCTATTACCAAACCCAAACCCAACCCTGCCGTCAAGCCAATTCTGACTCACAGTGAGACTCCATGTAGGAATGCTAAGACTGTAAATCTTTACAGGAGCAGACGGCCTCATCCTTCTTTCTCAGAATAGCGGGGGTTATCGGCCCAGTGCCTAACCCACAGGGCCACCAGGGCTCCTTAGAAAATTGTAAAACAATCAGAAGAGGATGCATTTTGAGTGTTTATTTAATCGTTCGCTTATGTAGCTTTTAATAGTTCCGTACTTCCATACAGGAGCCCTGGTGGCGTGTGTGGTTACGTGTTGGGCCAACCTTGTAGGGAGCAGTTCGAACCCACCAGCTGCTTGCTCCTTGGGAGCGAGACCTGGCTTTCTCCTCCCGGGAACAGCCACAGTCTCAGACGCGCCCAGAGGCAATTCTACCCTGCCCTCCGGGGTTGCTAAGAGCCGGAAACGACTCCGTGGTAGTGAGTTTGAGTTTTCATGAGTTCCTAAATACTATTTGGTCAAATCTCAGAAAATTTAGTAGTTGCATCTCATTATCCAGGGTGGTAGCCTCTCGCCCAGTGCTGCATCAAGCCCAGGACTTAACCCCAGGCCATCTGGTTACAGAGGCCTGGCCTGTAAGCTCGACTTTTCAGCCACAGTATATCGTTTAGTCCCTTCACTCCATGGGGTAATTTAGCCAATCTCCAGCTCATGGGCAGTTGGGTCATTTCCAATCTTTAGTTATTAAAACCAGTGCTGCAACAAATAACTTCATGCATATTAGTATTTTCAGTAGACTATGTTTGCAGGCTAAACCCCCGAAGTGGAATTGCCACAATTATTGCCAAATTGCTTCCACAGGTATTATATCAAACTTTACCTCTAGCAGTAAGCGAGCCCAGTACCCATTTCCCCATTGCCTTGCCAATGAAGGGCAGAGGACTCTTCTTTGACAGATATAAAACCCTGGGCTTCTCTTTCTTAGGTGCATGCATGGTGAGGCGCCACTTTGAGTGTTTGGTGCAAACCAAGGTTTTAGCTTTTGTTTCCTTTAGATTCCCCCATGGAGTTTTAAGTTATAAACTGTTCCATTTGGAATTGGAATAAGGAAAGCTTCATTTTCATTAGAATGCTAGGGTAACGATTCAAGCAACCAATAACCAATCAAATAAAAGCATAACCCAGTGTATATCAGAGCTTATTTAGATTACAGAATTTGGTAATTTGCCTTGAGAACTATTTTTTTTAACTGTTTATAAAACGACAGCATGCATGAGGTATGTGATATGGGAAACACTTTTTTAAACAGGAAGGCAGTACAGAATAATGGTAAGAACATAGGTTCTTGAGTTGGATCTGAGTTTGGATCTTACCTCTGCCTTGGCTGTTTTATTAATTCTAAGCCTCCATTTATAAAATGGAGGGGAGGAAAATGGAACCTACCTTTGACCCTGCTTGTGACATGTCTGTCTCAGGGAGGACTGCTGGCTCTGGGGCCGGGCCTGTTCTTGAGCCCAGGTTAGAGCCCAGGTGACACAACGAGGAAGGAGGGGTGCAAACTGGGTTTCTCTGGGCACCTAGGGTCTGATTGCCATTGTGTCTGAGCCTCATGAATTTCTGAAAGCAAGGGCTTTTACTTCCAGTTTCTACCTAAAGTAGTTCTGTAGCATGAAACCAACTCTAGCATGAAAATGTGCAGAAAATGGTGTGTTACCCCCGCCCCCAGAAGAATGCACTTCAGAGGACAGCCCTGAAGCTACAGTTCAGGAAGAGGGGCCCGTCTGATCAGAGCACACAGGAGCAAACAAAGAGGGAAGGAGAGAGGGTAGAACACATCCTGGCCCATCAAGCCCAAAGTCTATATTCCCACTGAGAGCACCCAATGCACAGAGAGGACCAGCCCCACCGAGAGACATGACGTCCCTCACTGACCCAAAGCACTTCGAGGGATAACACCGGATGCACAGTGCAGAAATTGTGCCCGATCTGACTCCACTATTCTGGGGGAAAACGCTAAGGACGTGCATGCAACAGTGCGGCAAGGGGAGCAAAGCAATGAAGTCCCCAGGGAATACCAAAAATAGACTTAGGGGCCAGACTCCATCAGAAAACACTCCTAAAGGTCCACAAGCAGACCTTGAACTATTTATAGGGTTTTCTCTTTTTTGGTCCTATTTTTGGTTGATGTTGTTTGGTTTTCTTTTGTTGTTTTGTTTCACTTTCTCTTTTGTTGGTACTTCTTATTGTCTCTTCATGTCTATCTACATAAGATAGGTGAGATAAACAATCCGGAGGAGAAAACAACAGACCAACGGTTCCAAGGGTACATGGCGGGGAAAGGAAGTGGGTGTTAACAAACCCAGGGACAAGGAGACAACAAGTGATGGTGTAGGATACCTGGTAGGGCTTGATCAAGGGCAATGTACCTGAGAGGAATTACTGAAACCTTAATGAAGGCCAAACATGATAGTGGGACAAGAGAAAAGTAAAAGGAAATAGAGGGGGGAAAAAAGTCAAAGGAAATAGAGGAAAGAACTAGAAGGCAAAGGACATTTATAGAGATCTAAATACAGGTGTGTACATATGTAAATATATTTATATATAACGATAGGAAAATATATCTGTGTACATATATTTATAGATTTAATATTAAGGTAGCAGATGGACATTGGGCCTCTACTCAAGTACTCTGTCAATGAAAGAATACTCTGTTCTAATAACCTGGCATTCTGGATGCTCACCTTCCCGACACAATCACTGAAGACAAAATGGGTTCATAAGCAAATGTGGCGAAGAAAACTGATGGTGCCCGGCTATCAAAAGATATAGCATCTGGGGTCTTAAAGGCTTGAAAATAATCAAGTGGCCATCTAGCTGAGAAGCAACAAAGCCCACATGAAAGAAGCACACCAGGCTGTGTGATTATGAGGTGTCTATGGGATCAGGTATCAGGCATCAAAGACCCAGAACAAAAAATCCTATCCTTGTGAATGAAGGGGAGTGCAGAGTAGAGACCAAAGTCCATCTGTAGGCAATTGGACATCCCCTTACAGAAGGGTCACCAGGAAGAGACAAGTCAGTCAGGGTGCAGTATAGCAC